TGTGGTGGAGGGGCCGCAGGTGGTGTGGTGGTCGGGGGGCTAGACTCCCACATGGCTGACCACAGTCTGATCCTGGACCTGGAGGCTGGAAACACACTGGGCACACGTGCGTGCATGCCTGAAGTCCCGACAGGGAGGCTGGAGAGGAGACTGTGGCGTGGCCATCCCACTGAGGGGTGACCTCTCGCTTTCCCTCTCTCCAGTGAATGCACCTGCCCTACAGCAAAACTTTCCAAAAGCAAAGGGCAGTGCTGTGAGGACATCTGGGTAGTGGGAGGCCACGGGACAGGTGAGATCGTGAACTGTGGCACGTGACAAGCAGAGGGGACGGTGGGGACAGCCTTCAGGGACCAGCAGGCAGTGTAATGGTTATGTCTCTGGACTCCCATATAGTCGATGGCAGTTCAAGTCCCAGACCTAGTGGCTTAAAACTCACAGCGGAGGGACCAGCAGGTGGCGTAATGGCAATATCACTGGACCCCTATGTAGTGGACCGCAGTTCTAGTCCTGGACCCGGTGGCTTAAACTCACACCGGGCGCGTGTGCGTGCGTGCCCAAGATCCCGAGAGGAGAATGGAGGAGAAGGGATTGCGGTGTGGCCGTCCCCCCTGGGGGGTGATTTCTCACTTTCTGTCTCTCTGTCTCTGTCTTTCTGGTGAGCGCACGCGCCCTATAGCAAAAACCTCTCAAACAAACAAACAAAAACTCTCACACACTGGATACGTGTGTGTGCATGCCCAAAATTCTGAGAGAAGACTGGAGAAGGGATCGTGACCCTGGGGGATGATTTCTCACTTTCTGTCTCTGTCTCCCTCTGTCTCTCCAGCAAGCACATACTTCTTATAACAAAAATCTCTCTAAAAGAAAAAGAAACAGCCTTTAAAGACTTTGGATCAGCACGGGTTGTGAGGAGCACAGCCTCTTTGGCTGTGGCATGTCGTGAGTGGAGGCCAGCAGGTGGCATGGTGATTAAGGTGCTGGACTCCCACATGGCCAACTGCGGTTTGAGTCCTGGACCTGGCAGCTTGCTTTTTCACCCCTCTCCCTTTCTCTCTCTTTCGGGTAAGCACAGGTGCCCTATAGCAAATAATGATAATAGATCAAATTAAATTCTTTTTTTAAAAAGCAAGAGAGTCCTTGGGCTCTGAGCAAGGGCCACCTGGGCAGTAAGAACAACACTGTGTGATAGCGGAGGCCCGCGGACTGCTGCCGAACCCAGGCCCCCGACACGGTGCTGAACACGGGTTATCTCACTTAACCCCCTAAGACGATGCATAGAAGACTGGACCAATTTGTTTGTTCTTAGTTTTGCTATAAGGCATGTGTACTTGCCAGGAAGAGAGAGAGAGAGAAGGTAAGAAAGCACCGCCCACGGGGATGGCCACACCACAATCCCTTCTCCTCCATCCTTCTCTCGGAATTTTGGGCTCGCACACACATGCACCTGGTGTGTATTTTCAAACCACTTGGTCTAGGACTTGAACCTCAAAGTGAGCCATGTGAGATTCAGCCACCTTAACCTCCATGCCACCTCCTGGCCCAAGATTGGACCCATTTTTTTTTTTTAAGGTTTTTGCCATAGGGTGTGTGTGCTCCCCAGAGAGATGCAGAGGAAGATGAGAGGGAAAGTGAGACACCACCCTCCGGGGGGATGGCCACACAGCAATCCCTTCACCTGCATCCTCCTCCTGGGATTTGGGGCACGCACACATGCACACACACACACACACATGCACACGCACACACACACACACACACACACACACACACACAGAGGCCTGGTGTGATTTGCAAGCTGCCGGGTCCGCACTAGAATCGTGGTCGACCATGTGGAAGTCCACCGCCACAACCACTACGCCACCTGCTGGACCATTTTGGCTCTGCCCAGATGGTAACCTTTTGTGGTTCGCTGTACTTCAGAGAGGAGGAACCGGGGTTGATAACTTCAGAGAGGGGTGATCAGTTGCCCAAGGCACACAGCTCTTCCCTGTGGACGCCGCGGTCATTTCTTTCCACCCGTTTTATTTATTTATTTATTTATTTTGGGTACCTTTCTTTTGATGGAAAGATCCGGAAAATGTTTCAGCATCACCCTTCCCCCTCTTTCCCATGGAGCTTTATTCTCCGAACCAAAAACTGGGCCACAGAGCCTGACGGAGCTTCTGGGCCGCCCCTGGGTGTGTGGCGCCTCCCACATGTTAGAGTTTCTGGGACATGTCAGTGGTTCAAAAGGAAGAAGGAATGGAGGCTTACGAAACCAACGATGGCCTGGAAAGCCGGGGAGGCGGCACAGCTACCGGAGGCCTGCAGGTGCCGGGCGCCGCGGCTCAGAGAAGGCAGCCTGCGGGAGGTGGGGCCCGTGCGCCTCGCAGCCGCCGCCCCCGCCCCGCCGGAGCTCCCACCTGGCTGTGTGGCCTTAGACCAGTGTCTTCCCCTCTCTGGGCCTCCATTGGCCAGTTGGGGCGATGACACGTCCCTTGCAAAGCTGATGCAGAGTCAGCACAGATGTACGGGAAAGTTTGGAGGTCGGTGCTCAGTCCACAGCGACGCGAACCCTCACTGGCAGGAGGACGGTGAAGGCTGAGCTGCGCCCACGGCAAGGGCAGTGCTGGCAGCCCTGTGCCAGGGCCGGGAGGGGGGCAGTGGCAGTGGCAAGTCCTGGAAGTGGGGCAGGGGAGAGGCGCGGGCAAGAACTGAGACCAGACCACGCCTGCCCTCAAGAGCCAGGTCCCAGGGCCCTGGGCGGCCACAGGGGAGCGGGGAGCCATAGGGCAGGGGAGCGCAGGCATGGGAGGTGAGCCAGAGCACTGTGGAGACTAGAGGCAGGGAGGCTGGCGTGGAGGCTTGGGAGGGAGCGGATGAGGCCTAAGTCAGGACTGGGGCCGTGAGGATGCAGAGCAGCAGACGTGGCAGGGGGACTTGGGGGTGGCAGGGACACACTGACTCAGGAGTATAGATGGACAGGGATGAGGAAGAGGGAGGCCTGGCCAGGAGGGAGCCCAGGCCAGGAGTCTGACCCTGGGCGGCTGAGCTGGGGACCTGGGATGGAGGGAGACAAGCTCGATGTCCGTGTCTAACCTGAGGGAGGGCGATTCCAGACGAGGTGCTGAACTGAGGTCTGGCTCCCCCGCCCCCCCCACCGCAGCACCCTCCCGAAACCCGCCCTGCAAAAGCCCTGACAGACCTTAACCCCTGGCTCGGAGGTGGGGACGCCGAGGCAGAAGCAGAGCCACTCACACAGCCCTGGGTTGGGACCTGGATGCCCCTCCCTCTGCCCAGCCCTGACCCCTCTCTCCTGCCCCCAGGACCTCCACGGCTCCGTACAGCGCATCTGTGAGTTCCTGGGCCGGCCGCTGGGCGAGGAGGCCCTGGGCTCCGTGGTGGCGCACTCGGCCTTTGGCGCCATGAAGGCCAACACCATGTCCAACTACACGCTGCTGCCCCCCAGCCTGCTGGACCACCGCCAGGGGGCCTTCCTCCGGAAAGGTGCGAGGCCATGCTGGGCGGCTGCCCCGCGGGCCACTTGGGCGAGTGACTTATCCTTTCTGGGCCTCAGTTTCTCCCACTATATCATGGGGGTGACAGGGTCACTGTGGGCCCGGGGCTGACACCGCACACAGGGCTGTGTGCATGGCCTGGAGCACCACCCTGGAGGCCTTCCGCTCCCACCTCTCACCTCCCCACCTGCCGCCTGCTGGCTCCCTCCCAGCACCGAGGCTCCCAGGACTGCCCACAGCAGGTGGGGCCCCAGGTCAGCCCACAGGACCCTGCAGAGGCCCCGAGGCCTTGGCCAGGGCGGGAGGGCTTGCCTCTCCTCTTCCTGCTGTAAGAAGATACGGACTCTATTCATTTCTGGAGGTCGCAATTGCACAGTCTCACTGGCTGAGACCCAGCGTGCAGAGGCGGCCGTGGGCTGGAGGCGGGGGGGGGGGGTTTCTGGCGGGCTCTTC